CCCCCCCCATGTGATAGCAGATGGTGGTGACAGGTACTCTTCAAGGTGATGCAGGGGGTCCATTGTATTGTCATTGTAATGTCTTCCTTATATTGTAAAACTTGTAAAGCCGACTGTCCAGTCGAAAGTCGGCTTTACAAGTTTAAACAGAGTCCCGGCGGTGCGTCTGTTTAAACAGCCCCGATGCTGGCGTCGTCTGTCACGAAGGGGTTAGGGGAAGAATAAACAGTTCGGAAGGCAAAAACCCATCAACATTGGCCCTTATACTTCCGTAAGTCTGCCATGCATGTCTCTCACCAGCACCACTTCCAGGTGTGATAGTCCAGTGCTACAGTCTGTGTCCACGCCAAGCATTTGCCTCTCTGTGACGACGTGGAGCCTGGAAGGACCCTGCCGCCGGACAGGCAAAAGGAAGTGCCCTGGTCGCCCAGGCAGTAGCATTGACACCCGAAGAAGGAGCGGCCTCCTCTGCAGTGAAGAAGATAGAAGACTGAGCAACCTGGCATGTCATGTGACCATAGATTTAAGATAGTAATTTTTTGCTTAGTTTTGATGGGTTGGAAGTTATGCCTGAAGTTCAGCTCTAATACTTATTCATTTGTAACTAGTATAGGTACAGTTTTAACGATCCAGTGCCAGAGTCTGTGTCCATGCCAACCAGTCAGCTCTTTGTGATGTGGCGGCTGGGAGGACCTCTCAACTGGACCGGCAATAGGAAGTGTCCACATCACCCAGGCAGTAACGGGGAGACTTGAAGAAGTAGCTGCCTCCTCTGCAGTGAAGAAGATAGAAGACTGAGGGGGCCTAGCACATCATGTGAACATAGATTTAGGAGAATAAATTCTACCTTTAGAATATTTTAAAGCTGGTTTGTTGGGTTTGGAGTTTTACCAAACATCACAACCACAACAGCCAGTGTATGTTTACCTCTTTGTATAATGTCCTATAATACAAGGACTCAAAAGAGACTTTCACAGTTGTATTTATCTTTATATGTTACATATCTGTGTGCTCCATGTGCTCATTAATACTTTTTATACTCATGTATTTCTAGACTCATGTATTACTGCTTGAGCCCAATAAAGTGTTTAAAAAATGTACCCAATATGTCACCCATGTAGTTTACAGTATGCCCTAAAATTCAAATGTAATTGTTTTTGTTGGCAAACATTTTCATATTTCATATTTTCTTTTAGATTGTAAGCCCTCAGGGGCAGTGCACTCCTTACCATCTGGTTTTGAATTGTATTGTGATTGTAATATATTCCTTATATTGTAAAGCGCTGCGCACACTGTTGGCGCTATATAAATCCTGTATAATAATAATATTGATGTTTGTTTGCATTCTTTTCCAGGACTTGCTGATGTACTTGTTACAGTTAGTACAAGCTCTGAAATATGAAAACTTTGAGGACATAAAGAATGGATTAGAGCCCACCAAAAGGGACAGCCAGGGCCCTATGCTGGACAGCATGATGACATCGGGAATAAACCCTTCTGATGTGGAAAGGTGGGTCTGACAGGATATCAAGACGTGCGACCATAAGAATACAGACAGACAAAGTCATTTCCCAATATGAGTCACGTCAGATTGTTTTTATTATTTTTTTAACCTCTTGCCGTCCGCCCGTAGTAGAAAAACGGACGGACGGCACTGCTGCATTGGCGGGTTGCCGTCGCCAGACGGCATTTTTTTTCTGCTCGCGTGCGCCCCCTAGCGGGCACGCACGGGCAGAAACGGCCCGTCCAATGCGAACACCCGGTACCGGGTGTTTCACATATAGGCGATCAGCGGGTCCATAGCCCGCCAATCGCCTATTTGTGCTCGTTTGCGTCCGCAACGCCCACCCCAATCCCCCCCGCGCGGCCGCTGCCGCCGGTTTTTTTTTTTTTCCCCCCCTGACCCCTCACCTTGAATCCCGGGATCCGCTGCCCCATCTGCGGCCCGGGATCGGCTCGGAGGGCGTCAGGAGGAGGAGGACGGGAGATCAGCTCCTTGCTTCAGGAAAATAAAAAAAGTACCCATGCAGTAGGGCTACCCCGACACAGTAAGGATTAAGTGCTCATCTTGTCTAGGGGGCTCAAATAAAGCAGATATACCCACCTGATCCACGGTCCTGCCTTGGCTGGCACTTAACTAGGGATGTTAGTATCGGTACCTGTGTCTACACCGAGCATTTGGGTGAGTACTTGTACTCGCCCATATGCTCTAAAACTTACCTCCGATACCGGAACTTCCAGTCAGAGGGAGATCTCCCTCTGACTGGCAGTGCCGGCGGAGCAAGTAGCCGCCTTCCGGCTTTCTGATTGGCTAGGAAGCCGGCTATTTGTTAGGCAGCCTGGCTTCCTGACCAATCAGGAAGCCGGACGGCACCTCATGACACACCACTCAACTTCCTGATTAGTCATTAAGCCAGGCAGCCTCGGCAAGTAAAGCCAATGTTCTTTCAATAGAACACGGATAGAATGTTCTTCCAATAGAACGGCTTCCTGATAATCTGGGCACACAGCACCGGTATCGGCGAGTGCCGAAAAAAGAAATATCGGTAGTCAATACCCAAAAAGCAGTATGGTTGAATCTCTACACTTAACCTCTTTTCCCGGGCAGAGATGAATACATGCCAAGTTCCGACAGGCCCGGGCATGGTTATTTGTTGACATCATACGATAGACATCTTCTGCTCCTGGCCATGCCTGTGCAGTGAGTCCCCACTGACTTCATCTGTGCACGGACAGGGAGTCTTTGGCATCTGTTTAAAGGGACCTTAAAAACAAAGTGCACTAATCCTTTAAGCACTGGTAGGACACTTATGGTTGGAGATATGATCAAACACGACACCTCAAACACTGTCATTGCATCTTTGCAGGACCCTCTTGTTGTATGATTAGCTTTTTGCTAGTCAGGTGATCCTATTTTCTGAAGTGTGCCAATATGAAAAACAATGGAGACATACTGTATTTCTCAAAGGGAAATTATACTAATTTTGGGTCAATCGAACTTTTTAAAGTTTGCAAGATTTAAAAAAACACACACACACACTCTCTCCCTCCCTCCCCTCTCTCCCTTCTCTCTCTCTCTCATCCTTCTCTCTCTCTCTCCCCCCCTTCTCTCTCTCTCCCCCTTCTCTCTCTCTTCTCTCTTGCATTCACTGTCCACCCCTATTCACACAGAGTGAATTGTTCACATCCTTGATCTGTGCCCCAGCAGTCCCCTGAAGACAATTTTTGTACTTTGCATTATTTTCTGGATAGCATTAGCAGTTCACTGACTTTAAGCTGTTGCCTGCCTGCCATTGTTCTCTGTTATTTTATCATTGATAACATTATTTGGCTTCTTATTGCAGTTCTCAAATCATATCGAGCAACCTCCCGCCTTCCCCATCCCCGGCATCCTCTTCTAAGACCAAGGATGGGCTGGAAGCTGAAAACCTTGAAGTAAGTTGCTGCAGTCCTATGGTGAAGTTATCTTCCATTTTCTAGGTTGTAAATAAAAGTACCGGTGTAAATAACAGTATGGGGCATATTTGAATGAAAAGCTCTAATGAAAGGGATACAGTGGGTGACAACCTCAAATGACAGTGATCACCGGTTGGATTGGATGTGTTCATCGCCCAGGCCTTTCATTGAGACCATAGTTGGCCTGGGCAAGCCTGTTCACAAATGTATGTTCCTCACTCCTGAGATCATACATTCCTTTGAATACGCATCAGTACACCTCCGTGCTTACCCATGTGTGATGAGGACCACTGAATGACTAGAGTAGACCTATGTGATGGGAAATGGTCTGCTTAATCAGGGCATAGATACTCTACTATTGACTCTTAAATGACACTATCATTGTGCTTAATATTCTTTACATCCCTTTTAGCCCAAAGATTTAGGCCGGAATACTTTGCACATTTGAATGGCAAATAATGTTTCTTTAATATAATTTTTGTTTACTGAATGTGAAGCTGGAAATCAGCCCTGACCTGTAGGTGCCAGCGTGCTCAATTATTCAGAGCGGATAACCTTTTATATGCCCTTTACAGAGCAGCTATGTCTTGCTATTGTGCTGTTCCTGATAACGCCACATTTCCCAAGTATTAATGTGTATTCTTCATCTCTACAGCAAGATCTGTGCACCTTCCTCATCTCCCGGGCCTGCAAGAACTCCACGCTGGCCAACTACTTATACTGGTATGTATACAACTACTGACTGCTTACACTGGTGTATATACCACTACTGACTGCTTACACTGGTGTGTATACAACTACTGACTGCTTACACTGGCGTGTATACAACTACTGACTGCTTACACTGGTGTGTATACAACTACTGACCGCTTACACTGGTGTGTATACAGCTACTGACCGCTTACACTGGCGTGTTTACAACTACTGACTGCTTACACTGGCGTGTATACCACTACTGACTGCTTACACTGGTGTATATACAACTACTGACTGCTTACACTGGCGTGTATACAACTACTGACTGCTTACACTGGTGTATATACCACTACTGACTGCTTACACTGGTGTGTATACAACTACTGACTGCTTACACTGGTGTGTATACAACTACTGACTGCTTACGCTGCCGTGTATACAACTACTGACTGCTTACGCTGGTGTATATACAACTACTGACTGCTTACACAGGCGTGTATACCACTACTGACTGCGTACACTGGCGTGTATACAACTACTGACTGCTTACACTGGCGTGTATACCACTACTGACTGCGTACACTGGCGTGTATACCACTACTGACTGCTTACACTGGTGTGTATACAACTACTGACTGCTTACGCTGGTGTATATACAACTACTGACTGCTTACACAGGTGTGTATACCACTACTGACTGCGTACACTGGCGTGTATACAACTACTGACTGCTTACACTGGTGTGTATACAACTACTGACTGCTTACACTGGCGTGTATACCACTACTGACTGCGTACACTGGTGTGTATACAACTACTGACTGCTTACACAGGTGTGTATACCACTACTGACTGCGTACACTGGCGTGTATACAACTACTGACTGCTTACACTGGTGTGTATACAACTACTGACTGCTTACACTGGTGTGTATACAACTACTGACTGCTTACACTGGTGTGCCTAGACAAATATCCTCCTGTTAATTTTCACCATTATAATACTTATCAATGGGATATAAGTATCCAAAAGGTAAATCATTCCCGCCACCTTCCCATTGCTTTCTTACGTTATCTGTAAAAGTCTGTATACGTTTCATCTTTAGATACTAATTGGGTGTGAAGTGTAGGGATATTTTGGGCACCAGTCTGCCCTGTAGCGACTCTAGTTGCTGCATTATTCCCCGAATGAGAAAAACAAATATCTGTATGGTATTAATGATCCTAAAGCTCTGCATTTAACAAGTGATGCCGTTTGTCTCTCAGGTATGTGATAGTTGAATGTGAAGACCAAGACACCCAACTGAGAGACCCGCGGACTCATGAGATGTATCTGAATGTCATGCGGAGGTTTAGCCAGGCGCTGCTGAAGGTAATGCGAACTGATGGATCCTGTCTGTGTATCCGGGCCAAGCTGTCATCCCGGGAAGTAATCAGTGTCAATCATGGGAGGATAACATTCACCTGTTTTCCAGAGTGTAATATTGTTAAAGGGGACCTGTCCTTTTTTAGCACACCATAGATGGACTTAACCATTAACCGTACAATAACAACAACCTCGGGCACTGCAATGGGGTGAATTAACAAAGCTACCTGATCCATTATAAGGCGCTACATTAACAAAGCAGAAAGATCTGTTTCAGGTCTATCTGCGCCACTCGTACCTGTTTCAGAGTGCAGTAGAAACTGGTGCGGGCCCCGCACCTAATTGTCAAAGGATTGCAACAATTTTTAATATAGAAAGCTGTTGCAGATTCCACCTGGCGTGCGATGTGAGCTGTCTGACAGTAACCAGACAGATAGCTCACTTGCCTCCCTCTGTCCTTGTGGTGTGATC